GGGTGTTGGTGGTTCTTCGTCGACGAGGACTGGTGTCGTTGTTCCTGCTGCTGCTGCCGATGTTGTCTCTGCTGCTGCCGATGATGTCTCTGCTGCTGTCGTTGTTGTTTCTGCTGCTGTCGATGTTGTCTCTGCTGCTGTCGATGTTGTGTCTGCTGCTGTCGAGTGTTGTATTGTTGCTAATGCGTGTGTTCGTTCTGCTTCAGGGATAGTATGGGAGTACCAGAAGCCTTCCGAGCTGAAGTCTGGATCAAGGTCTGGAGGGTGCGTCCAGTCCGTGAAGTTAACAATAGCGTCGCTGTCTGCGGTGCCCAGGTCCGGGACGAAATCCAGGACGAAGACGTTGTTCTTCAGAACTGCCTTCCCGATGTAAAGGCCGCCTTTCCCGTGATATAATTTAAATTTCTGGGTGGTGCTGTCGGCTTCCAGGTGGATGCCCTTCGCCATCAACTGGCTGACGCTCAGTAAGTTGTAGCCGAGTCCTTCTGCTATTAGTACCTTTGACATGTGTAGTATAACATTAGTCTCCCTGGACTGAAGCTGTACCACTCCTTGTCGTCGTGTGCGCAGGTTCTGATTGTTGGCAACTGTGATGACGACCTCTCGTTGAAGTCGATGTTCGCGTTGGACGAAGCGTCCCGAAGAGCACATGTGTTGTCCGCAGCAACTGTCCAAGAACCAAGTATCTTTCCCGGATGGTTCACTTTGAGCAATGGCGGCGTACGTCGGATTCGGTTGAAGAGACTCGCGGCGAGGCGTGCTGTTGTCAAGTTGTTCTTCGGGTGAGTAGTACGGTGGTGACTCGGTTGTGCAGGAGTCGGTTATCTTTACCATGCAGTTGACGATATTCCTTGGTTTTTGCGCAGGTTGTCGTGTTGGAGTCGTTGAAGCTTGGACTGAAGTTGTTGGGGCTGCTTGCGTCGAGGTGACTTGGCTGCTCGAAGGTCGGAGTTGTCGCTGTGGTGCTGTCGATTGATGAAGATACGGGCAGTGAGTGCGAGGATGTCCTTAAGTCTTGCAGATATGGCAAAAAGGAGGTACTGGCTTCGGTTGTTGTTGCTGTCGAGTGTTGCTATTGTTGTAACGTCGCTGGGTGTGAAAGGCGAATTCTGGTACTGATGCCTTTTTCTTATGTCGTTCTTCTTGCAGGTCCATATCTTGCTGCTCGGCGTGGATTTCGGCGCAGAGTGCCGCTTCGGAGATTCTTCCGTGTGCTCGTAATATGGCGCGAGTGGAGCGCCAGTGAGGGCCGAGACCGCCGATGACGACCGTGACGAAGGCGTCTTCTGAAATTGAACCTCCACATCGAAGGAGCCTGTCGCGCAGCTCGCGGCAGCGACTGATATACTCCATGCCTTTTTCGCCTGGCTTCATTTCGATTGTTGTTAGCTGCGCCATTAACCGGCTTTGGTTTACACTGTCTGTTGCTTGATACAGGTTCTTCAGGTGGTTGTACGCGAGCTCCGCGGAGTTGCCGTAGCCTCGGTAAGGCCTGATGTTCTGCTGTTGGGCCGGGGTAATGTTCCTTAGTAGTATAGTGTACGCCATCATTGATTGATAAGTATGCTGCTGCTTCTCATACTGTGTGCCGTTTGTTGGATATGGCAGGGACCCGTCGAAGAAGCCAAGGATTTGCGCTCCTTCCATCATCAGCTCGAATTCGAAAGACCAGGTGAAGAAGTCTTTTCCGTCAAAGGGCTTTGTCGTTTGCAGCTTTAAAACGTGCGCGAATTGCGACTGAACTTGTAATGCGTCCAGTGCTCTCTCTTGTCCCGGTGCAGGTTGTGGTTGCGGCATAAAGCTGACGGAGCCACGCTGGGGCTCGTACGGAGCAAAGGTGGGTTGTTGATGTTGATTCCCGCGCGCGTAGGATGAGCCATCGAGACTCATAGGCGTCACGTTGTTGTTGTTGTTGCTGTTGTTTGATTGTGCAGGTGCTCCTTGCTGGTGCTGCTCGTAGAAGGACATGAAGGAGAAACTTTTTTCCATCATGCTTGGATCGAAGCCCGCGCCTTGGTTTGCGGGTGTTTCCGTAGACCCAGCTGCTGGTCTCGTCGTTGTCCCTTCCTCTCTCAGTAGGCCAGAGGCAGGTGGTGGAGTAGGGGTAGTACCGGGAGAGCCGTTGGAGGAGCTCCTCTCCTTTCTAGCAGACATGTCTTCTTCGATGTACTGAGTGTTGAATAATGAATTTTAACTCTAACTGCTCTCATACCATGTTGGGCTGAAACGCCCTAGGATCTTTGTAGAGTTAAAGTTTGTGTAGGATGATGTAATAGCGGAAGCGTTGAATAAGAAAGCCTTGAACCACCTTGCGCTGGTATGTGAGGGCAAAGTAAGTTGATTAAAACAGGCAAATACAAAGCTTTATATAAGAGTACAAGGAATACGAATAGATGTAATTAAACTACCTTGCTGTTGCGATTCGATACAGTGTGACTCGGGCAACTGCTCAATGTCGAGTCAGTTGTGTGTCCTTGCTGTCGCGCTGTATTGGTCAAGTCAAAGGTCGCTGACCTTTGACCTTCCCGTAACCTTCAGGCGGTTACCCTAACCTCCGAGGGTTGACTCGCGATGCTTCGATTTGGACTTCTTCGCTTTGTGTCCTGAGTTTCGACACGACAGAGGCGCTTAAGACTTATTGTTCCCAACACACTAGAAGGGGGGGGGGGGTCACTATTTTAGCTGCTGGCTTTAATTGCCTGAAAAAATCAACACACCCTTTGGTTTACCTAGCTACCTGCCTTTCTACCTAGTAAGGTAGGGCAACTAACGGTGACTACGGTATCTTTGTCATGGTACCGTATGTTACATAATGACAGCACAGATTGTACACTGTCAAAACTAGCAGAAAACGCAGGCAATGAACCCAGACCTGGTACAATCTGGATGAAGATAGTACAAACTGTACACTCACCCAGACTAGCTATGGGTTAGTCAGCCATCAGATTGCTCTTGAGATCCAAGAGAACTTGACAGGGAAAAACTTTCTTCGCTAAGAGACTGCAGCCATGCCTCTTCTTCCCCAAGCAGCCGATTTTTCAGTCCCTCCATGTTGAAGGTACTCTCCAAATGCTCAATTATTCTGTTTCCGGGCACTTCCTTTCCCAGCCTCCTGCTGACGTGATCTGTCAACGCGAAGAGCATAAAATGGCGGTGAACTCCTAAGAGGAGATGTGCAGGATAAACTTCAAGGCCATCCAATAACGCGAACTCGAACATGAGTTGCTGTTTACAAGGATCCGCGTCAGCGTCTTGATTCTCCATCAGTCACGAGCTCTGCCATCAAGAAACGCACGAACGATAATGTTATCTGATCTAACGACCGTACAATACTCAACCGCCATGTGAACACCGCCTAGACTCGTGGCTGACTTTACGAGGAAGTAAAACGATATGCATCTGAATTGCGGAAACATAAGCCGGTTGGTCAATAGAAGGCTTCAACAGCTCGGGAAACAGGTGGAGAACGGGCAACAAGCCGGAATACTTCGTAGAGTTTGGAAAATGTAACAGTCTACTTTCAGTTCCACCAAAGACGACGCGTTTTTTGCAAAAGACGACAGATATGGTGGCTTAACCATGTGCGCGTACGTGATGCTTGCTGCGTGTTGAAACGACCAGAGAGTCGACGATGGAAACTGTTGCCAGTTGACACAGGCGCTGGCCTGCGCCTCGACTAGATTTCATACGGGTGCAAGCGCACAGACGCCACAGCCTTCCTCCGCAAAACTCTGATTGATAACCAGCTATCAGGGTGTCGAGCTAATCCCTGCTCCAGGAACGAATAACTAAAAGCTGGCTGGATTTCTCAGCTCTAGCTATCAAAATATGCTGGAAATTTAGAGGTGGTGGTTGCTATTCAACTAGTCACCCTTGCGATCACTCAGTCAGCTATGGTGGTGCTGTTTCTCGTCTCTTTTTCTGTCTGCGATTGAGCTTTTGACGGCGAAATGGGAGGGCGTCAGAGGGAAGGCTTTGTTCGATTTGAGTAGTCGCGTTTGAGCACGGATTGGCTGGAGATTGGCGAACGGATTTGTGGCACTGTCGCATGCAGGATTTTTTTTTGCGCCATCGTAAACGAAACGTTGTTCCACCACAGGGCAGCGAACGAGAGCACAGCCGAGTGCTCCAGCAATGATCCCCGCTGCCATGCAAGGAGTTGCGCACCGCAAGCCCAGCCTATCTACTTGTGTTCGGTTTGGGGGAGTAAAATACACTGCCGTTGCACACCAGCAGCGGGGTGTGGGGGAATGGGGGATAGGGAACTTGCGCCGTGAACAGCTGGAAATGCTGGACCAATTGCGCAGAGAAGCGACTCGCTCGTTTGTGCGCTTTAGGGGGGTGTATAAAACACCCTGGGCCGCCAGATGCCAGGATTAACGGACGAGATTCTCTCATCCGACTCATCCGACACTGCGACATTTGCGAGACTGAGAGCACGATCGCAATCAAAGAACTCTATTGAAATTGCTGAGTCCGGCAACGGCATTTCGGTGCCTGAACGAGATCCACCCCAACAGGCAGCTACACATGTTGTAATGAATACACAATTCATTACTGTAGAGGCTGCTCCTAGCAAGGACAGCCCGAGCACATCGCGTCAGGTGGCTCGGCCTACACTTCCGCACCGAACCAATTCCGAGTCGCCCTGCACCAATCGCGACACATACAACCCATCCACGTGCCGAGGTCCTCGCCTAGCACGGTTTCGACCCTAGAAATGCGTGCTCCTTATCATTCTTGATCATTCGGTAATTCATTCTCTTTATAAAGTCTTCCGCACACTCTGTCTAATAAAACTCATAACACATGTCATCGGCTGAACTTACCTCACAAAATTACGATTTCTCAAGTCTGTAGAAACATGATATAGGAAATGAGAAGGCATTATTAGGACAAATCAACCAAGACAAGCCATAGCAAAAAAATGTGAACAATATACCTGCATCTGAGCCTCTATGCAACACCAAAACGATTGAGCTGCGCCTCGATCCTAGTCCCTAAGCAATTTCCGGATGCTTGGCGTAAGCCTGCCCCAGCTGAGCAGTTTCCAAAGCATGTGCAATGGAATTCACATTCAACGCACGAGCACTCGCAGTTTCCCGCAGGGGGCGCGTGGCACAAGCTCCTTTCTGAACCGCAGCACTGATGGGAGAATACGCACTCATGGATGAAATCCTCCCCGAGCCAGCTGAAAATTGACCCATAAGCTCACAGGACTGAGGCACCACGACTGCACTGCTGCTACGCTTGTGATGTGCCCTTGCTTGCGAGCCTTTACCGGCAGGAGCGGCCAGAGAGGAAGAAGCAGCAACCGTGTTAGACACAGCACCATCAGCAGCCCTCCCAGCCCCTCCAAGGGAAGGCACTCCAGGAGTGCCAGGCCGCAGCAGCTTTCCACAGGCAGGAAAAAGTTCACAGGCACTGCCCGGCAGAGCATTCCCAGGAAGTTCCTGACCAACCCTAGGGGGAGTTCGGGGAGACTCGGACAGCCTGGTGATGTCACCTCCAAGCAGCTTGCCAATGGAAGCAGGGCGAGGAGGGGCGTGAGGGCCTACGGACCCGAGAGGCGCGAGATGGCCAGGAGGACTGGCAGGACCAGCAGGGCCAGAGGGACCAGGAGGACCAGGAGCAGGGGAGCCGGCAGCAAGTGAGGGGTAGCAGACTCCAGCGATCCGCCGCGCCTCATTCAAGCACATTTGCCTCGACCGCTCGCTGCTGCTGCCGCCGCCGCTGCTGGTCACATCCACAGCCATGGTTACACCCGTGTCTTTGGTGGGGTAACCAGTGGCGTAACCAGACGTGTAGTCAGAATCGCTAGTTTCAAAGCTGCTGCCGCCGAGCAGAGCACTGAGGTCGCCCGCGCTGAGGCGCCGGCCGTTCACTCGCAGCGAGTTGGCAGGTCGAGCAGTCGCCCTGTCTGTGGCAGCAACAGCAATGGCTGGAGCCATAGCAGCAGCCCTGTCGACAGCCACAGCAGTAGGTGGACCAGCAGCAGCAGCAGCAGGGCGGCGGCACGACTGAGCGATGGCAGGGTTGTGCGAGGCAGCAGCCCACAGAGACGCCACACCACCAGAGCGGCTCACACCAACCCTGCTCGAGTCACCTCCCGCACACCCTCCTCTTCTCGCACCCCCTGCCGCTGCGCGCACTGCCATGGCCCCGCCCTTAGGCGTGCTGGCACCACCATTAGGGGCCAGTGCTGCTGGAGCGTGCTGCGGAAACCCAGCCACAGCAGCAGCTGCTGAGGGGGACGTTAAGGGGCTGGCTGATGGGGAAATTAATGAGGCTGGAGAGAGGGGAGTGGGGGAAGAGGCGGAGTACCCAAGAGGGAGGTCGTCGGGGGCTAGAGGCGTGAGGGCAATGGAGAAAACAGAGGCGGAGGAGGAGGAGGAACCGGAGCCAGACGGGGTTTTCCCGCTTCCTGTGCGTTCCTCTGCCGCTGCTGCTCTTGCGCTGTATGCTGCTGGCACAAGAGGGTCTGTAACGGTAGAAAGCGGTGCGGGGAGATGCACGACTCGGGTACTCATATACTCGTCCACGTCATCCTCCTGGTCAACCAAGTCAAGGAATTCCTTCAGCTCCGTGTCGATGCACGTGATGCTGTGCCGTCGCCCATGGCTGCGAGGTCCTGCTGCCAATGCCGAACTTGACGCCGAAGCTGCAGCCAAAGCTGATGCCGAAGCTGCTGCCAGAGCTGGTGGGCTTATAGCCGCCGGCCTCCACGGTTTGAACAGCAGCTCAGCAGCTGCTGCGTTGACAGGAGCAGCAGGGGCAGCAGCGGCGCCAGCAGCAGCACTGCGACGGGCAGAGGAGGCAGCCTCAGGCGTAACAAACTCAAAGCTCACCCTCCGCCCTTCTCCCTCCCCTCCTTCACCTTTCCCCGTTTCCCCGCCCTCTCTTCCCTCCCGCTCGTCCCGCGGAACACATTCTCCCTCATCCGTCTCGTCCCCTTCGTCCGAGTCAATGAGGTCAAGGAATTCCTTCAGGTCCGTGTCGATGCACGTCTGGCTGCGGCGCCGCGCGGGGCGGCGCGCAAACGGGCTGGCGCTGGTGGCAGCGTGGGTGTTTGCGAGCAGTTGACCGGAATGCGTGCGAGGCGAAGGGTTACTAGTGCGCATAGACGCGGGGTTATTCCCAGTCGGCGACGCTACTGCTGCTGCTGCAGGAGAACGAACAGTCGCATTCGCAGTGGGGATCGCACCTGGGCGACCCCTGGTGTCTCTCCTGACAAGATTCCTTCCATTCCCTCCATTTCTGCGCATCCCTCCCTGGTGTCCCTCCCGACAAGCGGGGTGCTCCGCTTCTTTCTCCGATTTTCCCGCCGCTTCCCCATTCTCCCCTTCCTCCGCAGCTTCCTCCGCAGCTTCCTCCCCCTTTAAGTCAACCAAGTCAAGGAGTTCCTTCAGCTCCGTGTCGATACACGTGATGCTGTGCCGCCGCCTGTGCCCCGGCCGCGCGCTCTCATCCCCGCTACACGCAACCCCGTTACTAGCCGCGCCGTATTTGGGAAAGGCGAAATCTGCAGCAGCAGCAGCAGCGGCAGCCGCAGCGGCGGTTTCTTTTTCTCCGAGCCTGCCCGAGCCCGTAGCGATATCGCCTGAACCGCCTTCCCCACATCCCACCTGCCCCACCTGTCGCCGCGCGAACCGCCCGCTTCCGTCCCCTTCCCCGGCCTGCAGCGGATCCTGCGACTCCGCGAGGTTGCCCCAGCTGCTGCTCCGCCTCCGCCTTCCCCCGAGCCCTTCCACCTTCCCCCCTCCGCCAAACTCTTCCGCATCGTTGCTGCGCCCGCCGTGCCGCGTGCTTCCCCCCACCAAACATGCGTCCCCTCTTCCCTCTTTTGCGCCCACCCCGAGTCGATTCAGCGCCGTGGAAAGCGCCGCGTTTGCCGCTTGGCGGTGCTCCACAGCCGTCCAATAAAGACCCACAAACTCGTCGTCCGAATCACCGCCGTCACTCGCGCCGTCACTCGCACCGTCGGTCACGGCGCCATCCGCGGCTTCGTCGCGCTTTCCATCGATTGTCTCCTCGAAAGACGCACAAGCATCCCCAATTCGGGGGCTGTATCGAGCGGAACTTTCGCCGATGTTTCTCCCGCTGCCAGAAACACCGCGTGCGTGACGCGCGGAACTGCATCGAGCGTCGCTGCTGGCGGACGGGCGCAGTAACTCATTCCCCGCGCGGTCTTCTCGTCGCGCGGAACCACCGGCCGTGGCGGGAGTGGAAATTCCGCTTCCGTCCTCCGCACCCGCCGCGGGTTGTTTCGTCTGCTTGGCCCACATCCCAACGAGCGGGAACGACGAAATAGCGGCAGCGGCGGGGGCGGAGGCCGCCGCATTTGACGCAGCGGAATGCGGCGAACGTTGCGCCTCCGACCGGACGGGGCAAGAGCTGAATCTCCGCGCGACGTTGTGCGCGAAAGGTTCCGCAGATGCGTCCACGGCAGCGAATCCCGCCGAAAGCGCCGGGGGCTTGGGCGACGGCGGAGAAATTGGCGGCTTCCGACCGCGGGGACTCGGCGCGGCGCGTTGCGGCGCGGTATTCTGTTGAAAGATCATATTTCGTCGAGCAGCAACGGGGGATAACTGGGCGGCTTGATACGACGGCTGCTTCTGCTGCGAGGGTGACCGCATGGGCTGATTCGGATTGCTAGCTGAGGGAGAGGTATTCATTGGCTCTGGTCTGCGGTTTCTGACGTTGACGTCTAGTCGCTCCATCTCCGCTAACGTTCTCCGTCTGCTTATCGTTATTCGCGGACTGTCGCCGCTTGCGCTACCGCGCATGGCGACATTGCTTCCGGAAGTCCCTCTCTTGAGCGTGTTCAGAAACCCTTTCACGGAATATCCGCCGCGAGACGCGGCGGATTCGGCGGAGGGTGACCTAGCGGCTGTGCGACAGTCTCTGTTCAACGAGCCTTGCTGGTCCTGATTTTGGTGCTGACGCCATTGATGCGGCTCGCCGGACATGACGGCGACCTGAGACTGACATTGCATCATTTTGAACTCGGCGACGTCTGAAACGAAACTGAACTGTAGCGTTCACTGCTACTATGCGACTGACAAGCGCATCTGAATCACGGAATGGCTGAAGCGGAGAGCTACTAGCGCCGGAGATTCTAACTAACCTGACAAGAGGGTTCCGTGTAGTTATCGTCTGATCTATTTTCTTGAAATGGCGTTCTTGGAAGGGACTGAGAGCTATGTGAGAGTGAATGTCTATCATTCGCACTTGCTGTACTGTACTACTCATGTCGTACGGGGCTCTCGTAACTGAAGTCATCTCTAGTTGTCTGGTCCAGTGGTGCTTCTGTTTCAGTTCCCCGAACCGCCAAACGCTTGGTTGTGATGAACCGCGGGGGCTTCTCAACCAGGGGGGCCATCAGTGGATAAAAGCACTGTAACACTGATGGAAATTGGGGTAGAAATTGCCTTCTTATTGTTTGGGCTGTACAATACAGTGCCAATTTCGAAATTCAGGCCAAGCCTTGTTTGGTCCCAAAACAGCTGGGCCAGAGTGTAGTGTACCGTTCCAGCACAGTTGGTCACATGGATTCCGTCAAGAACCGTGCACCAGGTTTTACTACAAGGTTTTACGTGTACTGTACATGGTCGAGCCTCCGAAAACAAGGTGTCATGGAGTTGATTGCAGGAATCGTGTCCTTGTGGTCCTGAGTCCGATCGGATCCCGTAGATTGGCGTACGTTCAAAATGTCATGTGGGGCCTACCACTAGCGCATATTGTCATTTCGAAGTTGGGTTTGGGGGCAACTCCAAGTTTTTGGATTACGTGTTTCTGTCTGTACGTTAGTTCATCTTGAAAAAAATGAAAATGAACATATGATCAGGGGGCTTGCCCCCTGAACACCAAGTTCGGGTTTGATGTAAGTGCTTGGAGTTCGTGGAATGAGTAACCCTACTGAAAGCATTGGGTACCCACTCAATACAGTATGAAAACACCAAGAAAAATTTCGATAACCTTGATTCTGGAAGGAGAGGAAATCCATTTCAAAACCTTCGCTCATAAGGACGTGGGCCCAATCGAGTTTCATCCCGACTGATCTGATCGGGTCGGATCGCTTGTGATCACATTTCTCGCGCCGCCCGATCAGCGATGTTTTTTTCGAAAAAGTTTTGTTGCGCCTGCACAGCAAGCGCGGTTTAAATACCTGGTAATTTCTTCCTAGCGAGAACGGCGACCACAAGGCCACCTGACTAAAATCTTTGTTTCCCTGTAATATCGTAAACCCCATCCCGCACGATATCGAGGGCTGTTCCAAAGAGTTCTCGTGATTCGCAATGTATGGGCGAGGGTTTGACGAGACCTATTACAACTGCGTAACCTTTCGCAGGAGTCGTTATGGCCCCCGATCACATGGAATCCATCGCCTGTGGTCGAGGAAAACTGAGTTTGATCGGGGTGTAAATCGGGTCTGATCGAGTTGGATCGATCATCTTATTGCGATCAACTGATTGCCCCCGATTGCCTGAAATTGGCTTCCAGGCTTCTTGGAAGCTGTTGATCACTTCTAGTCGAGGCGATTCAACCCGATTGGGTCGACGTCCTAAAGGGTGGTGATGCGGCACCATCATAGCCACATAAACGTGCACATCGCCTTTCTTCGTGTCCATGAATTGTGCATGCATTTTCCCACACGTGATTTCGGGTCTGCTCGATTTGGGGCTTGCGGGTTCCACCTGTAGGGGCGGGCCCGGGTGTGGAATTTTCGGGCTTTGAGCGATGTGATGTGATAGCAACACCACTCACAGCTGGAAATCGTGGAATCCAGGCTTTGTGTGAAGCTCTCTCCCATCAGGGTGCACTCACTGCGCACCACAACTTCTGTAGTAGCACCGATTAAATAACTAGCAAAAAGTCACAGATATTTTGCACGTCGAGATGGTTGACATGCTGAAGGCTTGTAATCATAACCTCGCATGGACTTTGACATCCTGCATCTACTCGCAACGGAAATCTTCATCTTTTCCATCCGCCGGTTGCTGCAGCGGTTTGCAAATCCTGTAAGAGAAGTTCGTGGACAGGGTGTGGGCTCAAGATGGTAGAATCAGTTGGTGTGAGGGTAACGTTCCATCCACGCAGGCAGCTAGTCACTGGACAGCATATGTGGGCACGGTTGCGCCAACCATGCAATGGTCAAACGGCTCCAGCTAGCGCAATTGGCACGACAAAACCGCGTAGAGAGCTCATTCATGCAGCGTCATGAAATTGCAGAGCGCTCATGATACGCATTAAAGGGTTGCACGATCTCAGTTAAACAAGCAGAAGCAGCAGATAAACATAGCTGGTCGTATAAAAAACACACAGAGTTACCAACTCTGAATCTCTGGGGGGCAGGGCCCACGTTATCAGTGTAAATCACCCTGATGACCTGATTAGAAGGGTGATTTTTGGTAGTAACACTGATGCTGTTGGGTAATTTTTCGACACCTTGATTTACCCTAATGTGCCAGATTTTGAGATTAAGGAACACTGTCGCCTCAGGGTTGCCGTTCCGCTTATCGAGGTTTACCCTGAAGCACGTACCAACGAACCCCCACCCCCCCCGTCCCCTAACCATCCGACCCCGGGACTAGGATTTTCCCTTGGCCAACTGTCGAAAATGTAGATTTCGGCAGGACTTTACGTGTGCTGGAACGAGGTGGGCCACCATTGGCCAGAAATATAGTTTCATTCGAGGCAAGGAGAAAGTGCCGGAGCCAGAGGAGGACAATGACCACGAGCAACAACCTTGTGGCATGTCTGATGATGATGATTAAGCCTGTTATTGTGTGCTGTGTTAAGAACAACTGAAACAGGGTTTTGCGAATTGGTGCACTGATGCCTCAGGGTAGTCGTTTTAATACATGCAAAAACCCTGACGCATCAGGTTTTCCACAACGGATAACCCTGAAAATCAGGTTTTTGAACAGGTTCTAGACTGACTGTAAAGGTTGGTCAAAACAAAAAATGAGCCCTGCTGGGGGTGCAAAACTTGATCACAAATGACTCAACCTTTTCTTTGCTCTTACATAGATCCTAGACGTAATACGTAAATCCACGGAATGGTGAAGGGGTATGTGCGCGTGAGAGGAGATAGTTGTCAAATACCGTAATAGAAGAGGGGAAAACAGGAAACAACTTATAGATAAAGCGGAAGGGGGAAGACTGGAGTGCAAGGCCAAATGGATGAAAGAGTTGGTGTAGAGGTAATGAATCATTCTTTCCATGTTATAAGAAATCCGTATCTAAACCTGTATCGCATGATACCATATCTTGGGAACTTTCAGTTTCAAGCTGCGGAAAAACTACTTGATACAGCTCTCTTTCACCTTCATTCCCTACAAGTCTTCCCCTCAAGCCGGTTCCCTGACGAGCTCGCCACCGTGGCGTCGCACTGTGTTCCTCTCTCAGTGGAGCGGACAATCGCGACGCGCGTGGGTTTGGACACGTGGCGAGTCCGCTCTGCGCGATCCACGCCGTGCTTCCCAAGGTGCCGCGTAGATTTTCTTGCTAAAACCTTCCTCGCACCACCATCCGAATTCTCAAATTCAAGGACAGGGAACCCGCTGCAAAGTTTGTGTGGAAATAGCTCGTCCGTCGAAACGCAACTGGCGCAGTTTAAAGTCCTTAACTCCGGCGGCGCGTCGCGGCTTACCTTTGCTTATGCTTTCGCGCACGGGTGGATTGGACCACGCAGTCCAGAACTGATTGCTAGACTTAGCACCCGTTTTATAGCGAATCGTTCAGTTCGCACTACTGCTGCTGGGAAACACAGCTTGGGGTGGGAAGCTGGAACGAAGGCAGGAACAGGAAGGGAGGTATTGACCGGAGGAGCAGCCTTTACAGGAGCGAGTAGTCGAGAAACTCAATATCGAGGATTCGCCTCAGTGCACCTTGGCTCACCTCAAACGTCGTTCCGCGAATTTGCGTCTGTCCAAGGGCGGTTTCAAGATCAGCAGCAGTTGCAAAGGAGCCAATTGCGTGAATTTCAGGTCCCACGATCAGCGCCGACGTCAGCAACGGCCGCGCCGGAAGATCCTAGCCTGGACGCGGCTGAGTCAGCGCGTGAAAATTACACGTCAGAAGCGGTAACTTCCACGTCAGCGGGTGCGGAGTTCGCGGAGCCGCTAAAGCGCCCGCCTCGCGTCGGTTCCGCGATGGCGTTCGGCGATCCCGAGGCGGTGCGGGTGACGGGGGAGGTGCGGCTGAGTGCGGACGAGTCGCACTTGTTCAGCACTCTGAGGGACGTGGTGTCGCACTACGGACTGGGCACACAGCTGCGCGTGGCGGGTGGATGGGTGCGCGATAAGGTGAGGTGAAGCGAGAGATTTGGCAAGGTGAGGTGTGAAGCAAAGGAGCGGCACTTATCAGCACTCTAAGGGACGTGCTTTGGTGTCGCACTATGGACTGGAAGCACGCAGCTGATGGTGGCGGGCGGACGGGTGCGCGACAAGGTGAGTGGTGACGCAAACGGGGTGTGAAGCAAGGGAGGTGTGACAGAAAGGAGGTGTGAAGCAAGAGAGCAGCACTCGAAGGGACGTGCTTTGGTGTCGCACTATGGACTGGAAACACGCAGCTGAGGGTGGCGGGCGGATGGGTGCGCAACAAGGTGAGGGGGGAGGCCGGAAAGGGGTAAAGCAAGCAAGGGAGGTTCTTTGGCATTGACACCACTGCACTCGACAACCTGCTGGGGATTCGATTCGCAGGGAAGGTCAGTTAATGCTCTCCCTTTCCCTCTCCCGCTTTGCTTTCCCTTCCATTCCTCTTATCCCCTTTTTGTCCATTCTCTCCTTTGCCCATTCCTGCTCAGCTTCCAGTCCAACCCTCTCCACCCCACTCCACCCCACTGAATCGCAGCTGATAGGCCGGGACTGCATAGACATTGACATAGCTCTTGACAACCTGCTGGGGCGGAAATATGCAGAGAAGGCAACTTGTTGATTCACCCCCTCCCATCCCTCTCCACCCCTCTGCACCCCTCTCCATCCCACTCAATCGCAGCTGATCGGGCGCGACTGCATAGACATTGACATAGCTCTGGACAACCTGCTGGGGAGGGAGTTTGCAGAGAAGGTCACCGAATACCTCAAGGAGCGAGGGGAGGTCGTGCGGGGCGTGGGGGTCATCCAGAAGTGAGTGGGGGGCTCAGGGCGTGGGGGTTTAGGGCGTGGGGGAAAGTGAGTGGAGGGTTTAGGGCATGGGGCAAAGTGAGTGGAGGGAATTCAGAAGAGGGTTCGGGGTATAGGGTTTGAGAGAGTTTGCAGAGAGGGTCACGGAATATCTCAAGGAACGAGGGGAGGTCGTGCGGGGCATGGGGGTCATTCAGAAAATGAGTGGGGGGTTTAGGGCTTGGGGGAAAGTGAGTGGAGGGAAGTCAGGAGAGGGTTTCGGGTATGGGAGTTGAGAGAGTTTGCAGAGAGGGTCACGGAGTATCTGACGGATTAGGGGAGGTCGTGCTGGGCATGCAAGTCATTCAGAAATGAGTGGCGGGTTTAGGGCTTGGGGGGAAAGTGAGTGGAGAAGTCAGGAGACGGTTTAGGGCATGCAGGTTGAGAGAGTTGGGCCAAGGAAGGAGCGAGGAGAGGTCGTTCTGGGCATAGGGGTCTTCAAGAAATGAGTGGCGGGGAGTGAGGCGAGGGTTGGGCCATGCTGTGTGAGGGGCTGTGCTGCGCTTACCTTACCACCTCTCTCGCTTGTAGTTCAAAAGTCGCTACTGTCTATGTAGTGTGTTTGAGTCGACTCCCAACACACTTGGCCCATGCAGGGCAAGGGGCTGTGCTTACCTTAACACCACTCGAGTGGCTTACCTTTGCACCATGCTCGCTTGTAGTTCATGTGAAATGTCGCCACTGTACTTCTCCTTCGCTTGTCTGGCCATGTGTGTGCTTCCTACATGGCCATGTGTGCGCTTCCTACATGGCAATGTGTGTGCTTCCTACATGGCCATGTGTGTGCTTCCTACATGGCCATGTGTGTGCTTCCTACCTACTCCTGCAGGAACCCCGACCAGTCGAAGCACCTGGAGACGGCAACGATGATGATTCACGGCATGTGGATCGACTTTGTGAACCTGCGGGCCGAGGAGTACGCCCACGACTCCAGAATCCCTCACACCATTGTGAGTGCTCTCTCTTACTGGTTACAGTATTAGACATGGTTACAGGGTTACTAGCTGATATGGCTCTGTCTCAGAGGGCACAATAGTACACCCACGAATCCAGAATCCCACCTTTCTCCCATAGTAAGAGCTCAATATTTCCGGCGAGCTGCTAGATGTATGGCTTTTGAGTCGACTCAAAAGCATAGTAAGAGCTCAATATTTCCTTGATGGCCGAACGGCAAGGTTCAGGCGAGCTGCTATTGCTTCAATTTGTTCATTCCCCCTCACGTCCCCGTTGCTTCCGTGGCAGGAGTTTGGGACAGCAGAGGAGGATGCTCTGAGAAGGGATTTGACGATCAACAGCATGTTTTACAACATCAGCACGGAGCAAATCGAGGACCCCACTGGGCGAGGTGAGAGGAGTGGTGAGGCGTGTGAGTGAATGAATGTGTGGGCCGAGACATGAACATCGACAGTCTGAATATGTGGAGGATGGACCTGACCGTCGACCTGAATATGCTTTTCAACATTTCAACGGAGCAAGTGGAGGACCCCACGGGGCGAGGTGAGAGGAGGGGGAGAGTGAGGCGCCTCATAGATGCTGTGGTGGGGTGGTCGCTCTGAGGAGGGATCTGACGATCAACACCATGTTCTACAACATCCAAGTGGAGGACCCCACCACTGGGCGAGCGAGGTGAGGAGTTTGTTGTGGTGAGGCATCTTCTGCTTTTTGAGAATTCTCAAAAGTGAGGCATCTTCTGCTTTTTGAGAATTCTCAAAAGTGAGGCATCTTCTGCTTTTTGAGAATTCTCAAAAGTGAGGCATCTTCTGCTTTTTGAGAATTCTCAAAAGTGAGGCATCTTCTGCTTTTTGAGAATTCTCAAAAGTGAGGCATCTTCTGCTTTTTGAGAATTCTCAAAAGTGAGACATCTTCTGCTTTTGAGAATTCTCAAAAGTGAGGCATCTTCTGCTTTTTGAGAATTTTCAAAATTGAGGCATCTTCTGCTTTTTGAGAATTCTCAAAAGTGAGGCATCTTCTGCTTTTGAGAATTCTCAAAAGTGAGGCATCTTCTGCTTTTTGAGAATTCTCAAAAGTGAGGCATCTTCTGCTTTTGAGAATTCTCAAAAGTGAGGCATCTTCTGCTTTTGAGAATTCTCAAAAGTGAGGCATCTTCTGCTTTTTGAGAATTCTCAAAAGTGAGGCATCTTCTGCTTTTTGAGAATTCTCAAAAGTGAGGCATCTTCCGCTTTTGAGAATTCTCAAAAGTGAGGCATCTTCTGCTTTTTGAGAATTCTCAAAAGTGAGGCATCTTCTGCTTTTGAGAATTCTCAAAAGTGAGGCATCTTCTGCTTTTTGAGAATTCTCAAAAGTGAGGCATCTTCTGCTTTTTGAGAATTCTCAAAAGTGAGGCATCTTCTGCTTTTGAGAATTCTCAAAAGTGAGGCATCTTCTGCTTTTGAGAATTCTCAAAAGTGAGGCATCTTCTGCTTTTTGAGAATTCTCAAAAGTGAGGCATCTTCTGCTTTTTGAGAATTCTCAAAAGTGAGGCATCTTCTGCTTTTGAGAATTCTCAAAAGTGAGGCATCTTCTGCTTTTGAGAACTCTCAAAAGTGAGGCATCTTCTGCTTTTGAGAATTCTCAAAAGTGAGGCATCTTCTGCTTTTGAGAATTCTCAAAAGTGAGGCATCTTCTGCACGCCACTTTCCCCCCCACCAGGCCCTATACGACCCTCGTTCGTTGCTCTTCCTATCATCCAGCCAAGGCACCTAACCTCCCGTTCCCCCTCCTCCCCCACTCAGGAATATTGGACTCGAATGGAGGCCCCATCCACACGCCTCTCCCTCCCTTCCCACCAGACCCTATACGACCCTTGTTGCTCTTCCTATCATCCAGCCTGCACCCCACACTCACCAAAGCCCCCACCCCCTCATTCCCCCCCACATCCCTCCCCTTCCCAGGAATCGCTGACCTGAATGGGGGCATCATTCGCACGCCTCTCCCTCCCCACCAGACCTTTCTCGACGACCCTCTCCGAGTGCTTCGGGCTGTCAGGTTCGGTGAGTGGTCCTGCTGCTGTTCGGTCCTGCTGTTCCTTTCAACTGCATGTTCCCTCCTTTCCCCCGTTACCCCCCCGTTCCCCATTATCCCGCCATTCTCCCTTTATCGCTCCCTCCCCCCTGTATCCCCCCATCCTGCCGCTGTGCGGTCCTGCTGTTCCTTTCAGCTGCCCGATTCGGCTTCTCATTGGACGAGGAGTTGCGGGCAGCTGCAGCTTCGGAGGAGGTTCGGACAGCGCTAGGAAACAAAGTCAGCAAAGAGAGGATCGGAAAAGAGGTGCGTGTAAGAGAGAGGTACGGGATAAAGGTATGGGATAGAGGTATGGGATAGAGGTATGGAGTACAGTACGGGATAGATGCACGAAGTTTCCACTGGGTGCATTTGGGATTACTCAATCGACAGAAGTATTTTTTTTGGTGCCCGAAAATGCGCCTCTTTTTTAGGCACCACTAAAGTCGTCTCACTGGGCGCATTTGAGAATGCTCAATCAACACAAATTTGTACCAATGGCCTCACTCAGTCACTTAGCCATGATTTGTCTGTCCCCTTACACCCGTTTTCCCTTTCCTCCTATTCTTCTCTTCCCACCCCTCACAGGTAGAGGTGATGCTCAAGTCCCGTGACCCCTATGCAGCTATCTCCCTCGTGGTCGACCTGAACCTCTTCCCCACCGTCTTCCCATGCCCGCTCTCCGCGTGCTGCTTCAACTGCCTCCTTACGCCTGTTTTCCCCTTTCTGTCTTTCCTTCCGCCCCTCACAGGTAGAGCTGATGCTCAAGTCCCGTGATCCCGATGCAGCTATCTCCCTCGTGGTCGACCTCAACCTCTTCCCCACCGTCTTCCTGTGTCTCTCTCCTCTTCCCTCCCCTCTCCTTCACAGGTAGAGCTGATGCTGAAGTCACGCGATCCCTACGCAGCAATCTCCCTGGTGGTCGACCTCAACCTCTTCCCCACCGTCTTCCCGCTCCCCCACGCCCTCTCGCACACTGCTGATGTGCCCCCTGACGACGAGTTACCTGGGTGAGTAACGTGGTAACCAGAGACAGTAATATGTGGCTTGTGCTTCAAACATGTCCCAATTCCCCTTACTCCCTCATGCCGTTTCCCCCGCTCCCTCTCCCCTTTCTACCCCCCCACCCTTTCCCCCTCTCCCCTTTCTACCCCCCCACCCTTTCCCCCTCTTCCCTTTCTATCCGCCTCCCCTCCCCTTTCCCCCCTCCCCTCGTTTTTCACTTCCCTTGCAAGTCCACTTTTCTATTTTCTCTAGAGCTTCTCTCCCAAACGCTGTCATTCCACACCATGTATCGTCCATTGCACTCACTCCCTGTATCGTCCATTGCACTCACTCCCTGTATCGTCCATTGCACTCACTCCCTGTATCGTCCGTTGTACTCACTCCCTTGTGTGTGTGTGTGTGTGTGTGTGTGTGTGTGTGTTTGAGAGAGTGTGTGTGTGTGGGGGGGGGGGGGGGGGGGGGGGGGGGGGCGTCCCACATGCATCAGCCTCTGTGAAGCTTCATTTGCAGCCACTTGCACACGCCTGCACCAATGGGAGAAACACCTGCCCCAGGTAATGTTCACCCTAAACCGTCCTCCAGATATAACCTCCCCCAGCTACAGCCTGTCTTCAGATGCAGCCTGTCATCAGATGCAGCCTGTCCCCAGATGCAGCCTGCAACCCATTCATGAACCACACAGAAAGCACCATGCTTTTGTATTGCTTGATCTGTGGCCCTTGACTCACTCCCTCTGCTGTTCTGCATGTGTGCCACGTGGCAGGCTCTGATTGATCACTTGTCGGACCTTAGTGTGGGGCTGCTGCTGGCGGCGCTGCTGATGCCTCTCAGGCACGCCCACTACCTGGATAAGAAGAAGAAAGAGGTGAGAGAGTGGTAGAGAGGGGTGGAGAGGGGTAACAAGGGGTGAAGATGGGGTGGTGAGCGGTTGTGATGGGTGAAGAAGGGTGCTGGCGGCGCTGCTGATGTTTCTGAGGCACACGCACTACCTGGATAAGAAGAAGAAAGAGGCGAGGAAAGGGTGGAGAGCGGTGGAGAGTGGTGAAGAGAGGTGCTGGCGGTGCTGCTGATTCTTCCCGCATGCGAATTACCTGGATAGGAAGAAGAAAGAGGTGAGAGGGGTGGCGAGGGGTGGAGAGGGGTAAAGCTGGGTTGTGAGAGGGATGAAAGGGGTTGCTGGCAGCACTGCTGATTCCTTACAGGCACGTGCACTACCTGGACAGGTTGAAGAAAGAGCTAAGAGGGGTGGAGACTGGCAACGAGGTGTGGAGAGGTGGTGAGAGGGATGAAGAGGAGTGCTGCTGTTCTGACTGATGCCTCTCCAGCACGTGCACTACCTGGATACCGAGATGACAGAGGTGAGAGACAAGCGGTGGTGAGGGGCGGCCACCGCTGCTCCTGTGGTTGTGACTGATGCCTCTTAGGCGCAAGCATCACCTGGATAGGAAGCAGACAGATAAAGGACCTCTCAAACCCTCAAACCCTCAAACCCGAAAACCCGCAAACCCTCAAACCCTCATCAGACGAGTTCTTTGGCGCCTCAGATTTGAGCCTTCTCTTTGTCTTTGCATGTACCTTTGCAGGTGCCCTTCGCGCAACACATCGCGCTGGACTCACTCAAGCTCAAGCGAGCCCCTGCAGGGTGTTTTTGAGGCGCCTCAAAAACGACCTCAACACATCGCGCTGTACTCACTCAAGCTCAAGCGAGCCCCTGTCCCTGTCCCTCCACTTTCTTGAACCCCGGAATCTTAAACCCAAACCCCCGAACCTCCCCATCCCCTCTCCATGTCTTGTCTCGCTGCAGGTGCCATTTGCACAACACATTGTTTTGGACTCACTCAAGCTCAAACGAGCATATGCTGACATGGCAGGTGGCCCCACCCTTTATGCTGATGTGGCATGTGCCCCCACACCCTCTATGTTGACATGCCTCTTGTTCAAATATTTCAATGCTACCTTCCCTCTTCACACAGCACTTAACCTTCTTTCACTCTTGATGATCCTCGAAGTTCCCTATGTCAAGTTCCCCCTTTCGCCTTCTCTCTCCCTCTGCCTCCCTCCCTCCATCCTGCCGCCTGCAGGTGGTGCTGCTGCATGCAGCAGCGGAGGACTTCTCTGCCCTGGCACCGCTGCTGGCCACAGGAGGAGATGCTGGAGGGAACGCAAAAGCCTTATGGAGTCATTCTTGCCCTCTCCGCCTCTGCTCCTTGCTCCCTCTTCCCCCTGCTGCTCCCTCAGGCGGTGCTGCTGCATGCAGCAGCGGAGGACTTCACTGCCCTGGCGCCCCTACTGGCCGCAGTACAGGGAAAAGGAGGAGGAAGCACAGAGGGAGTATGACATTATCCGTATCTTCTCTCTCCCTCCGCCTCCCTCCCTCCATCCTGCCGCCTGCAGGTGGTGCTGCTGCATGCAGCAGCAGAGGACTTCGCTGCCCTGGCGCCCCTGCAAGCCACAGGAGGAGCAGCAGGAGGGACACAAGACATTATCCTTATCCTCGTTACCTCTGCTCCTGACCGCTGCTCCACGCTCCCTCACCCCCCCCTGACCCCCTCAGGTGGTGCTGCTGCATGCAGCAGCGGAGGACTTCACTGCCCTGGCGCCCCTGCTGGCCACAGCAGGGGCAGAGGGAGCAGGGGCAGCAGTAGGAGGAGTGGGTGATGAAGCTCGAGCTCTCACGCTGATCCAACCCCCACATGAGGAGTTCCGAGGCAACCCAAGAGTGCTGGCAGGTGCGCTGGGTGCTGGCAGGTGCAGTGCGGTTGCTGGCCACAGCAGGGGCAGAGGGAGCAGGAGCAGCAGTAGGAGGAGTGGGTAGCACGGCACGAGCTCTCGCGCTGATCTCACCCCCTTATTAGGAGTTCCGAGGCAACGCAAGGGTGCTGACAGGTGCGGTGCGGTTGGTGGGTCACTGGCAGGTAAGAAGGCACGAGGCCTTACTCTGATCGCACCCCGCATGAGGAGTTCCAAAGCAACGTAAGAGTGCTGGCAGGTGCGGCTGGTGGGGTGCTGGCAGGTAATGAACCACGAGCTCTCACGTGAATCCCACCCCCGTATGAGGAGTTTCAAGGCCATGCAAGGGTGCTAACAGGTGCAGTTGGAGCTGGCAGTGCAGTGCGGTTGGTGGGGTACTGCCTGGCAGGTGCGCTTCTTTCTGCACTGCTCGTCTGCATTCCAACCCCCCATTCCAGAACCTTTTTGTCCTTTTCTTTTCTCCATCCCCCCTTCTTCCCTCACCATGCAAACTCCTCCGCAAGGTGAAGGGCTGCTGGCCGTCGGCTGTGCTGCTCGCCTCTATTCTGCCCCTCATCAAAAGCCCTTCTTCTCAAAACCTCCTTCCTAACCCCTCTTCCCCAAATCTCTCTTCCCTCACGCCCTTATTCAGGCAAGCTCCTCCGCAAGGTGAAGGGCTGCTGGCCGTCCGCTGTGCTGCTAGCGTCCACTCTGCCCCTTGCTCTGAAAGCCCTTCTTCCCAAACCCCCCCTGCTGCCCCCCTTCACTCAAATCCACCTGTCCTTCGAAATCCCCTCTCCTCCCTCCCCAGGCAAGCTGCTCCGCAAGGTGAAGGGCTGCTGGCCATCCGCTGTGCTGCTGGCCTCGACTCTGCCGCCCGTTTCATCGGCCGCCCGCAGTGAACAGTGTGGGCGGGAGGGGGAGGGGGCAAAGGGGGAGAGAGGCGAGGGAGAGAGGGAAGAGGAGGATTGCAAGAGGAGGCGGATGGAGGGGAAGGAAGGGGGTGCAGGAGAGGATGTGGGGAGTGGAAGGAAGGGGTGTGAGCAGAGCGAGTTTTATCTGCAAGTTCTACAAGCGGTGCATGCCATGGGTATGTACTTGTATTGAGGTCACTATTGGGTGCAAGCATGTTGTGGTATGTGCTTGTATTGAGGTCACTATTGGGTGCAAGCATGTTGTGGTATGTGCTTGTATTGGGGTGACTTTTGACTTGATTCTTATGTCACATATTGGTGAATGCCATGAGTTGCCGATGTTGGCATGGTATGTGTTTGTATTAGGACTCAGGCAAAAATGCTCGTGTTTACGTCTGCATGCATCTTTTGCCCCCCTCCTTCCCCCTCCCCACCCCCCTCTCTCCCTGTTTTCACGACCAGCACTATTCTGAGGCTTCTGCCGTATTCATAACCTCCCTTCCGGCCAGGCTTGGATGGCGTGTGGGGCACGAAGCCCATATTCAATGCACGGGATGACATTTTTGCTGACTTGACTGTGCTTTCAACCCCTTCCCCTACCAGGTTTGGATGGTGTGTGGGACACGAAGCCCATACTGAATGGCCGGGATGTGGTTGCTGCTCTGGAGCTCAAGAAAGGCGACCCACGTACCGGATACTGGGTACGTCAAGTGAACAAGTGTGTCAGAAGTTTGCCGATTGCACTTCCCAGTTGTGTAGTTCACATCTATTCCGACACATCCCAGGCCTTGGCACGTCCAGTTCTTATGCGTGGCTTTTGTTTATGCTTGTGGTGTGCAGATGGATCGAGTGATGGAGTGGCAGTTAGCTAATCCAGATAATGGATCAACCGAGGAATTTACTGCTTGGTTGAAGACGCAGGCGCAAGTCCGTGAAGCGGGAAGTACCAAATGATATACAGATGGATGGAGGTTTATGAAAGCAAGCTGTTACGCATAGCTAGCTTGTGTACATGATCCAGGTAGTGTACTGTAATGAAAAGGTGATCTGCCATTTTACAAATCTGTTCAGCGACTTTGTGGAACTCCGCACGTGTTCAGCAGAAGGGTGTGCTGGCTGGATCTGGGAGTCTCTCACGTGGCTGCGTGACAGCACACGCGATTTCAGCTGCTTCGATTCGTTCAAGACGGTTCCTGGTTGTTTCAGCCCACCGATTGGGGGTGTCCGCCAGTAGGGGGCCCGATTGACCCGAATTCACACCTCAGCTTCGCACACCTGACCAATCGAGTAAATTGACTGACCCCATGCCACTTTCATATCCTGAGAATGCTAGGCAAGTCGTAGCTGACGTGTGCGAAGGGTCACCATGACCCGTCATGATATCACAATCTGACAACTGTATGCCACAGAGGATGCTGCTGGAGGGACAGCGATGACAAGCTCTGTTCTCATAGCCGTTCGATCTGTCGAAATAACCAATCGAAACCGCACGGTCCATGTCTGACAAGATGAAGATTTCGCTCGCTGGCGGGTACCTTCGGCTTTCAGCAGCATTTCTTGAGATTGTTCCACTCCACACCATCTTCGTCCTCATCCTCATCATCCTCATTGTCATCGTGGTAATTTTGTTGTTGGCATTGTCAAATTCATTTTTTCACATCTTCATTTTCTGTTTTTCTCCTGTTTCGTGTTCAACCAGTAGTGTCGGCCGTGATTTCGCAGCATTCGTCTTGCATTTATCCAAGTTTCGTGCTCGCATTAGGGTTAAGTAATCTGCATTGCTATTTAAACATCCATCAGTCGCGGCTATCGTATTCTTAAACGTGTGAAGAACATTGTATCTGAGCCGGGCCCTCATTCCACCCGGCTTTCTCCTCTTTGTAAGCTCCAACGCAGGTCGAAGCCTGGTTATAACTGTGCTCTTTCTTTCGCACTGCTACCTTCACTCATCCATCATATTCGTCTTGCATCCTCGTTTCTGATGTCCTTACATCGGCGGTTTCCATGATTTCGCAATTGGTTAGGCTGTCGGAAGCTGACAGACGACGCTCGTCGTCAGCACTTGACCGCTTCACGGTTCCACGATCCATTACCCTTTTTCGCCATTCCTTGAACACTGTGAAACCTGTTGTCCAACCCTCGAATGTCCCGAAACATCATGAATCCCGGAGGTCTACTTGTTAACAGTCTCGACAACTCATTGCACCATCTTCCACAGAGTTTACCAGCCAGGCGAAGATGACCCCCCTGACCCCCCTTTCCCTCTTAATCCCTCTTCCTCTTATTGACCGACTCGTTCAAGCTCTCCTGAATCCATGCTGGCCATCTTGCACAAGTCCATAAGCGATCACCGGAGGAGGCAATGACACCTGCAGCATTCCACGCTCCCCCCTCACTGACGCCATGGCTCCTTCTCCCCTGTTCATTCCACCAGTAGGTCGACCCAAAGCGCTTGCAGCCATGTTGGCCATCTTCCAGAAGTCGATAGGCGAGGCGCCACAGGAGCTGATGGCGCCGAAGCTGAACCGATCGGCGTCCATGTCGGGCCGGCTCGACGCGAAGGAGATCCTTCACGGCTTCAAGAAGGCGCACCCGGGCGCCGTGCTTATGCAGTTTGACGAGCAACACGCTATCGCGTACACGCACGACATGCAAGACTTTCTCATGCCCAGGTGGGTCGCAGCCTTCAGATGTTTCTTCATTCTCGGTGCATCCGTGCTTCTGGTCGTTGCGTGAGCTGTCATGGCTCTAAGCTTGAGCTGAAACATACCTTTATTCTCGTTTTGTATAGTTTACTTCGTCAAAGAAACTCCTTCACGACATTCTACCCTAACCTCTTCCGCCGTTTCCAGCACCTGGGAACTTTCCGCGTACGATGCCATCTCCTCCACCTCCGGAGTCAACTTCCAAGGGCCTCGCGCAGTTCGGGCACCTGCACTCTTTGTACTTGCTCCTCGCGGTGTTCCTTGTCCCTCTTCCGAGAGGCCCGGCTTGAACCTTAACTCGTTCATCCATGTTCTCCCGGTCAAATGTAGAACTTCGGGTACAGCGTCGGCAGCGGTGCTGCCTGGGCCGGCATGCCAGCATGGCCAACCCTCCCGCATTCTTTCCCTCTACTCTTTCCGCTCCCTCCGCTCCCCCCGTTTTAACAGGCAATTTGCAGCATGCGACGATGTCTTCTGCGCGTTCGCCGGCAACATCGAGAACCTCGCGCAGCTGCGACAGCGGTACGGGCTGGACCGGCACGTGAGCGAGGTGAATCTGATCATCGAGGCGTACAAGACGCTGCGCGACCGCCGTCCGTACCCGCCGGACCAAGTCATCGCGGACCTCGCAGGCGCGTTCGCGTTCGTTCTGTACGACAACAAGGCCAAGACGGTGTTCGTGGCGCATGTGAGTTGGCGGAGGGGATAAGGGCGTATGAAACAGGACATTCTGGGAATGGGGAGCGATGTATGGTAGGGAGGAACGCAGCGTTCGCGTTTGTGCTGTACGGCAACAAGGCGAAGACGGTGTTCGTGGCGCATGTGAGTTGATTGAGTGGAAGTTGGTGTAGATGGCAATGCTAGCGATTTGGCATTGTTTGGTTAGGGTTATGGATAACCGGTCAGAGTTAGGGTTGCTTTGTGAGGCTCTTGTAGACATCGTTTAGTCGTGACCCGTTGAGCTAGTCAGAGAGAGAATCTGAAGAACAGAAGAACGAGGCAGGGTACAGTAGCGAAGATGACAGATGATGAGTCAGGAGGAATTAAGAGCCAGGGCGGGTGTCCAAACTGAAGTCCGAGGATTCAAATTCACAGATGATGATCCAGAGGGGGATGAAGAGGAGACGAGGAGACGGGAATGGTGCTCTTTGTCAGAGGGCGCTTGCTTGCTAGATTCTACGCGTTGTATTCCGCTACCTTCCGCTCCGCCCCTCCCCCACCCCTACATCCACCATGCCGATGCTTCCCATTGTCACCACAAATACCCGAAAGGAAAGGTGCCCTTGTACTGGGGCAAGTGTTTGGATGACTGTTTGCTCGCGTTCCCATTCTCGCCTTCGCTTCCCTCCCCTCCCCCCTACACGTACCCCCACTGCCCCCACCAGGACGCGCAAGGCAAGGTGCCCTTGTACTGGGGCAAGTGCCTGGACGACGGAGTGCTCGCCTTCTCCGACGACCCTGCTGTGCTCAAAGCCGGCACCGGCTCCTCCTTCGCCCCCTTCCCTCTCGGTACGTCTCCTTCTCCTTCTTTGTTCTCAGTATGCGCCTGCCCCCCCGCCCCCCTTCTGCTTGGTACGTCCTTACCACTTCCCCCCCCATCGCGTTCGCGGACGACCCTGCTGCCCTCAAGCCTCGAACTGGTTCCTCCTTCACCCCCTTCCCTCTCGGTATGCGCTTTGCCCCCATCACGCATCCCATCCACACATCTCTTCACACATCCCATCACACACCCCATCCCACATCCCTTCAAATTCCATCCCACATCCCATCCCACATGCCATGGCACATCCGTTCACACACCCCATCACACACCCCATCACGCACCCCATCACACACCCCATCACGCACCCCATCACACACCCTATCACACACCCCATCACACACCCCATCACACACCCCATCACACACCCCATCACACACCCCGTCACACACCCCATCACGCACCCCATCACACACCCCATCACACACCCCATCACGCACCCCATCACACACCCCATCACACACCCCGTCACACATCCCATCACACATCCCATCACACATCCCTTCCCACCCTGAGAAGCAGCTCAAGGCCATTCAGCACGCGGACAGCCAACTTACCCCCACTTTTCTCCCTGTCACCCCTTGGCAACCCTTGTCAACCTTTGTCACCCAGCCCCACCCTTCGTCACCGCATCCCACCCACATTAGGCTGCTTCTAATTCTCGGACGGTGGGCTCCGCATTTTCACGGACCCCAAGAAGCAGCTCAAGGCCATTCAGCACATTACCTGCCAACTTACCACCGCTTCATTTCCTGTCACCCCTTGTCACCCCTTCTCACTTATCCCCACTCATGCAGGCTGCTTCTACTCTTCTGACGGTGGCCTCCGCAGCTTCACAGACCCGGAGAAGCAGCTCAAGGCCATTCAGCACATTGACAGCCAGGGGGAGCTGTGTGGTGCCACCTTCAAGGTCGACAGCCAGCAGGATCTGACTCAGATGCCTCTAGACTCCAAGGACGACAGTGGACGGGGCTGGTCGTAAATGTGTTTGGAAGTATGGATAATTTTTATCAGCGGGGAGCGGAGGTTTAGGGTGGAGGATGGTTGTTCTGCTACAGTGGTGCTCGTTACACCTACGGGGTGTCGACTATACAGCACCAAGGGGAGTTGTGCTGCTGCTGCTGCAGCTTGTTACGGAACGCCGTTTGAGAAACACAATTGTTCTCTACATGGAATAGTGTGCAATACTAGTGTAGTGGAGGCCATGGGGCAGGACGGGATGCTGTTAAAGGCTCGTTCGTTTGATTTCATTGCAATGGATGATGCCTAATTTGTTTCCAGTACATTATTGTCCCTCACTCCAGCTTGGGGAGTGGGTAGGCAGGTGTTTGTTCTGCTATACAGATGCGCATTACACTAACAGGCATACAATAGCTGCTGCTGAATGATAAGATAGTACAGGGTGACAGTAGAGCGCTGACGAGTGAAACTGTCCCGCTGCAGCTTGTTTGCTCTGGTCAATAAACACAGATGTCACCTACAGGTGCAGCATTTGATAGTGGTTTAGCGGCGACGGTGTAGGGTGAGGAAAGTAGAACGAGAATGAATGACTAAGGAATGGAAGTGATACAAATATGCTACACTAGAAATGTGTACCCCATATAGGCTACCCCACTATAGCCTACACAATATTATAATTCGACACACCCCCATAGGCAAAGTGGGGGAGAACAAGGGGTCACAAGACCAGTCAAGCAAAGCAGACAGTCCGAGCACAAGGTCAAGGCCACAAGGCCAGTTCACATGCAGGAGTACACACACATATATATATATATATATATATATATATAAGGCTAAACAAGCAAGAGCAGGTATATATATATATATATGTAAGAGTACAAGCAAGGTCAAGGGGTGCGCAAGTGAGGCAAGACATGCACAAGACCCAGCTGAGTGCAGAAGCGCTGATGATCACAAGGCGGAAGTGCCTTGGTGAAAACATCAGCAGTGTTGGCCTCAGAGGCCACGTACGCAAGTCGCAATTGACCACGCTGCTGCAACTCACGAGCAAGAAAGTAGCGGAGAGCAATGTGCTTCGTTCTGTGCTCCAGGCACTGCTCCCGACACAAGGCCAGCATGGCCTTGTTGTCTACGTACAGCACTGGAGGAGAACGAGGCGGCTCTCCGAGGTCAGTCAGCAGGTAGGTGAGCCAACGAAGCTCCTGTGCAGCCATGGCCCCGGCGTAGATCTCAGCCTCACAACTGGAGCCGAGAACAGAAGACGAGCGAGTAGCCCGCCACGAAACAGAGCCGGAACCAAGACTGAAGGTGTAACCCTGTGACGACCGCTGCGTAGCCTAGTCGTCAGCCCAAGAAGCGTCCGCGTGCCCAGTGAGGACCACTGGACTCCGCCCTCCAAGCACTAGCCCCATGCCCGACGTACTGCACAAGTAGCGCAACACCCTCTTCGCTGCAGCCATGTGCTCTGGTCTGTGTCTCCCAGGAGCAACATAGCGTGCAAGAATGCTAAGAGGGTATGCAAGGTCAGGTCGTGTGCAGGTCATGAGGTACATGAGGCAGCCAACAAGCTCTGGGTACGGGCCACTCGACTCTACGGACTCATCCGAAGGCAGAGCTGAGAGTGAGTGGCGAGTAGACAGAGGAGTGGCCTGAGGCGAGGAGTACGTGAAGCCGAAGCGCTGAAGGACCTACTGCACCATGTGTGACTGAGTCAAGGTAATGGTGCAGCGTGCTCTGTCCCGGGTGATCTGCAAGCCAAGGTAGCTGCGCAGTTCATCCAGGTATGTGCACGTGTGTCTCTTCTGCAGCTCGGACTTCACGTGGGCGAGTCCAGCAGTGTCAGCTGTGGCAAAGACCAAGTCGTCGACGTACACGAGGATGTAGAACGGCGGCAGAGAGGTGTCGGTGCGCAGAAACAACGACGGGTCAGCAGTAGAGGGAGCAAACCCAAGAGCCGCAAGCGTAGTCCTCAGTGTGTCGTGCCACTCGCGCGGTGCCTGGCGGAGACCGTAGACTGGCCGTCGGAGGCTCCACTGGGTGCCAGGAGGGAAAGTCCCAGTGAAGCCAGGTGGACAGCGCAGCCAGATCTCCTCGTGCAGGCTACCCTGCAGGAAAGCAGTGCTGAAGTCAAGGGAGTGAAGCTCGTAGTCACGCTGAGCGGCTATGTGTAGCAGCACCCAAAGAGTGGTCATCTTCGGGGTGGGAGAGAAGGTCTGAAAGTAGTCAACTCCCTGCCACTGACTGAAGCCACGAGCCACGTACCGCGCCTTGAAGACAGGTGGAGAGCCCGGCAGCCGCTTCACCCTGAAGATCCACATGCCATTGACGATGTTCGGCCCAGGAGGAGGAACCGTGTCAACGTAGGTGCCTGTGGACTTCCAGGAAGCCATCTCTGCATCCATAGCTGCCTGCCACTGAGAGGAGTAGGGACCCTCTACGGCCTCCGCGTAAGAGCGCGGAGTCGGGATGTCTAGTGCATCCGGGTCTCCCTAAGGGGTAAGCAGTACGGACGCGAGATGAGGTGAAGCAGCAGCCAGAGACTGGAACTCCTCCTGCCCGTCCTCAAGGACGTTCGTGCCAAGAGCACACTCACCCCCGACGGACGGAGGACAGACAGACGCAGACTCAGCAACAAGACTAGCAGCGTAGTCTACACGAGAGTGAGCAGCAAAGTCGATGAGCTCAGCAACAAGAGCAGACGCAGCAGTGGACTCAAAAGAGGGGTCAGTGACGACAGTAGCAAGGAGACGCGTGACGGTAGGACTGGCAGCACGAAGAGAGTCCGACTCCGGGTCGGCAAGTGCAGGAAGAGAGGACTCAGGAGGAGAAAGCAAAGGGACACGCAGAGGAGCAGTGGACGGACGTAGAGACATCCGGTGCGTGCCAGGGACAGGAGGAGGACGCTGACGCGAACCGCGACCACTAGCGCGAGCAGCACGAACAGGCGACGCGGGACGAGACGCAGGCTCACGACGCTCAGCATGACCTCCAGTAGGACCAGCGTAAAGAGAGGGAGCAGGCAGTGGGGAGGCGGGCGGTAACTGTGACTGTGACTGGACAGGCGGTGGACACTCTACAGGAGCAGAAGGACCAAGAACCTGCTGAAGGAGCGGAAAGAAATACGGCCGAGGCCGTGCGGCGACTCCAGACACAGCAGGGACAACACCAGCACCCTCAGCGGCAGCACCAGCGCCAACAGCACTTCCAGCTGCAGGACCTCCAGTAGTACCAGCAGCACCCGCAGCAGGACCACCGCCAGGACTGACAGCAGTAGCCTCAGCGCCAACACCCTCAGCAGCTCCAGCTCTAGTCGTACCCGCAGGCCCAGCAGCTCCAGCACTCCCAGGACGAGCACCTCCAGGACCGGCGGCACCAGCACCCTCAGCGGCCGAAGAAGCTCCAGCTCCAGCAGTACGCCTCCAGCGCCGGGCAAACCACTCGCGCAGCTCCTGTGGAGAGAGTGGCTCCCGCCGAGACGAAGCACCCGGAGAACCTCCAGGCCCAGCACCGCCAGACGCCACACGAGCAGGTCCAGCGGCCGCTGGCTCAGCACCACCAAGCTCAGTAGCTCCAGACGCAGCACCCCCAGGCTCAGCAGCTCCTGACGTAGCACCCCCAGGCTCAGCACCCCCAGTCGTAGCACCCCCGGGCTCAGCACCCCTAGTCGTAGTACCCCCAGGCTCAGCACCCCTAGTCGTAGCACCCCCAGGCTCAGCACCCCCACTTGCAGCACCCCCAGACTCAGCACCCCCAGGCTCAGCGCCCACGCGCGCAGCACCCCCAGAGTCAGCACCCCCAGGCTCAGCACCCGCAGCAGTACAAGAGTCACCAGCAACCTCGACCGGCTCGACTGCGTCTACCTGGGACACACCTGAAGGGGCAGGACCCTGAGGGGGGAGGGGGTCTACCGGGGGGGGACCTGGTACAAGGAAGTGCGGTGGTTGGGGGAGGGAAGGAGTGCGGTAGGGGAAGAGGCGGTAGTAGGGGACTGACTCGTCGAACGTGACGTCCTGGGAGGACAGAACACGACGAGAGGTGGGGTGGTAGAACTGCCACCCAGGGGCGTCAGGGGGGAAGCCAAGGAAGACACAGGGAGCAGCACGAGGGGACAGCTTGTCCGGAGACAAGTCGCGGACAAACGCCCGAGATCCCCAAACACGGAACGCAGACGCATTGCCGACCTTCCCCGTCCACAGCAAGGCTGGGGAGGTCTCCGGCCTGGAGACCCTGGGGTGAAGGTTGATCTGATGCGTCGCGTACCGAACCGCAAACGGCCATAGAAAATGGGGGGCAGCCGCATGCATCATGGACGTACGAGCGACGTCCATGACCATGCCAATGCGGCGCTCAGCAATCCCACTTGCTGTGGAGAGTCCGGAAGCGTAAAGGTCTGGCGGATGCCTTGCGCACGACAGTAGGCTCGCAGAAGGCCAAAGGAGAACTCTCCGCCTCGGTCAGAGTGCAGACGCAGAACAGGAAAGTCCGAGCCGAAGCTCCTCCTGAGCTGGAGACGAGCTGCGCGGATCCAGTCGATCAACACCTCAGTGACATCACCCTTGCTGCGCAAGGGGAAGACTGTGGTGTAACGCGAGTAGTCGTCAACCACCAGCAGGAAGTAGCGCTCGTGACCCTGTCCACGGACGCGGGCCGGGCCCCACACGTCCATGTGAAGCGTCTACAGCGGGGCCTCTGTCGGGGGAAACTGAGAGGAGTGAGGGGCAGCCCGGAGCCGCCCCTCGACACAGGGGACACAGGAAGGACCAGGCCCCGGAGGAAGGGGAGGGAGGGACCGGGGAAGACCAGAGACAAGGACACGGGAAGCCATGCCTCGGAGACGAGGTAGGGAGGGGTGACCAAGACGGTGGTGCCAGAGGAGAGTCTCGTGAGACAGGAGGCGACACGAGCAGGGGGCAGACTCAGAACCAGACTTGGACGCTGCAGCAAACACCTGACCCGACGCAGCTACCTGGCCAGAAGCAGGGACAGTAGGGGACCCAGTGGTCAGGGTGTAGAGGCTTGACC